TAGACGAAGGACGAAGTGCCATAGCGTGCGTGCCAGGGACAGGAGGCGGACGCTCACGAGGAACACGACGACCAGTGCGACCAGCGCGAATAGGCGAGGCAGGACGAGACGGAGGCTCAAGACGCTCTGTAAGCGAGTCTGTTTGCTCAGTGTAAGGAGAAGGAGCAGGCAATTGTGCGCCGGGCTGTAACGGGAGGACAGTGGAAGACGGGAGGCTAAGAACTTGGCAAAGTACGGAGTCAGGCGGTGGCAGAGACAACGGTGACGGCGGAGCGAAAAACAGTCGCGACGGTGCAGGGCCACAAGCACCAGTAGCTCCAGTACCTCCAGCAGCTCCAAAATCTCGAGCTCCAGCGACTCCAGCAGCAGCACCTCCAGCTCCAGCGCCTCCAGCAGCTCCACCGCCTCCAGCAGCTCCAGAACCTCCAGCTCCAGCGACTCCAGCAGCAGCACCTGCAGCTCCAGCGCCTCCAGCAGCAGTACCTCCAGCTCCAGGGACTCCAGCAGCAGTACCTCCAGCTCCAGCGCCTCCAGCAGCTCCAAAACCTCCAGCTCCAGCGCCACTAGTAGCAGCACCCTCTGAACCGGCACCTCCACCCTCACGGTCCCCAACTCCAGGGTCGACAGGACCAGCGCCAGGGCCTCCAGCAGCAGCACCTCCAGAACCGGCACCTCCAACTCTAGGGTCTCCAACGCCAGGGGCAGTACCAGCTCCAGGGGCTCCAGCCTGAGTACCTCCAGCATCAGCACCCCCAGAGCCGACACCTCCAGCTCCAAGAGCAGTACCAGTCCCGGCAGCTCCAGTTCCTCCAGCACGAGCACCTCCAGGACCAGTGACACCAGCACTCCCAGCGCCCCCACGACAAGCAGCTCCAGCAGCACGACTCCTCAGGCGGGTACGCGTCGCAAGCCACTCTCGTGCCTGCTCTGGTGAGACAGGCCCGCGTCGTGAAACGAGACCCAGAGGAACACCAGCAGACTCAGCACCCCCAGCTCCAGGGCCTCAAGCCCCAGTACCTCCAGCCGCAGCACCCCCAGAACCGGCACCTCCAGCTCCAGGGTCTCCAACTCCAGGGTCGACAGCAACAGCTCTAGGGCCTCCAGCCTGAGTACCTCCAGCAGCAGCACCCCTGGAACCGACACCTCCAGCTCCAGGAGCAGCACTAGTCCCGGCAGCTCCAGTTCCTCTAGTACGAGCACCTCAAGGACCAGAGACACCAGCACTCCCAGCGCCTCCACGACAAGCAGCTCCAGCAGCACGTCTCCTCAGGCGGGTACGCGACGCAAGCCACTGTCGTGTCTGCTGTGGTGAGACAGGCCCGCGTCGTGAAACGAGACCCAAAGGAACACCAGCGGACTCAGCACCCCCAGGCTCCGCACCCCCCGTCACCTCACGGACGGGCTCAGCACCCCCAGGCTCCGCACTCCCCAGCACCTCACGCGCAGGCTCAGCACCCTCAGAAGTAGCACCCCCAGCAGTACCTCCCGCAGCAGCACCTGAGTCGCTAGTGACCTCTACAGGCTCAGCCAAGGGGGGCAGGTCTACCTGAGACACACCTGAAGGAGCAGGACCCTGAGGGGGGAGGGGGTCTACCGGGAGGGACCTGGAGCGAGGAAAAGCGGCGGGGGAGGGAGAGGGGCAGCACGGTAGGGGAAGAGACGGTAGAAAGGAACCGACTCATCAAAGGTGACGTCCTGAGAGGAGAAGACACGGCGCGAGGTTGGGTGGTAAAACTGCCAGCCAGGCGCGTCAGGGACAAAGTCAAGGAAGACACAGGGAATGGTGCGGGAGGAGAGCTTGTCCGCGGACGTATCGCGACGTATCGCGGACAAGGGCACGAGCACCCCAGACCCGGAAACGCGACCCATCGCCAACCTCCCACGTCCAACGCAGTGTGGGCGAGGTCTCCGGCAAGGAGACACAGGGCCAGAGGTTGAGCTGCTCCGCGGCGTAACGGACCGCAAACGGCCACAAAAAATGGGGAGCCGTCGCATGAATCAAGGAGGTACGAGCGACCTCCATGACTAAGCCAATGCGGCGCTCAGCAACCCCATTTTGCTGTGGTGAGCCCGGAAGCGTGAAAGACTGCTCGATGCCCTCCCCCTGACAGAAGGCCCGCAAGAGGTCGGAGGTAAACTCACCACCTCTGTCAGAGTGCAGACGCAGGACAAGAAGGTCCTGGTGGAACCTGCGGCGGAGCCGGAGACGAACTTCTCGGATCCAAGGGATCAGGACCGCAGGGACCTCACCCTTGGTGCGCAAGGGGAAGACCGTGGTGTACCGCGAGTAGTCGTCGACAACCAGTAGAAAGTACCGCTCACCGCCTTGTCCACGAACGCGGGCTGGGCCCCACACGTCCAGGTGGAGGGTCTGCAGAGGAACCTCTGTCGGGGGAAACGAGGAGGAGTGAGGAGCGGCGCGCTGCCGCCCCTCGACGCAAGGAAGGCAGGGCGACACAGGCAAGGCAGGGAGGGGAGGGAGAGACCTGGGAAGACCAGACACAAGGAGGCGACGATGCATGCCACGTAGACGTGGCAAGGAGGGGTGACCGAGACAGTGGTGCTAGAGAAGAGTCTGGTGCGACAGGGAGCGACACTCACAAGGGGAGGCTACCGAACCGGACGCAGACATCTGACCTGTAGCAGCTACCTGAGGAGGCGCAGTCGTCAGTATGTAAAGACTCGACCTTGGCCGACGGGTAAACGTGGCCAGGTGGCGGCCGGTCCGGGAGCACGTATAGATCGCCACACGCTACCCTCCAGGGGTAAAGGTGTCAACCCACTGGTCCTGGAGAACTGCGTTGCTCACCAAGTTCGTAGAGAACGAGGGTAGGTGGAAGTCTGTCAGTGAGCCAGACGGAACCGCCAGGCACGGAAGCACAGTGGTGGACCGTGCAAGAACTGGGCCCCCTTAGGGGTCAGCCAGAGAGACTGCAACAGGTGCAGTGAGTGGTGTGAGTGCAGTACTGTCACGAAAGAAACAGCGGGAAGCACCTGAATCAAGCGTGAAGGTGTACAAGGCCTCACCAGGCATAGTACTTGAGGAAGCAGACTCGCTAGCACCTAAGGCAGCAGCCTCACTAGCACCTAGAGTAGCAACCTCTATACCGGGGTCGTACTGCACACACAGGTGACAGTCACCCTCAGCACCACCAGGCAAAGCAGACATGGCAGTAAGGATGGCGTCATAGTCTAAAGCAAAGCCAGCAACGCCCGAACTAAGCAGCTCAAGCCAGGGGGGGATCTCAGCCTCGTCGCCAAACTCTGTGCGCCAGGCGTCAGTCAAATAGGCAAGGCAGCGGGACTGTGTGTTACCAGGTATCCCACAGGTCTCACGAGCTCGACGACCTGTGCGAATGACGTACGGGCAGCGACCCGGACTCAGAGACGCCCCACGCTGGTAAAGCCACTCACGAAGTTGCCGGGGCGTAAGGGTCGGACGCCGCCGTAGCTGCATCTTGTCACCGCCAGACACTCCGAACCAAACAGCGCCACAGTGACTGCTACTACGGCTGCCACCACTCCCATTGCTGCCACCACCGCCGTCACCACTCCCACCGGTATGACAAAGGGAAGTCATGGCGGGCAAGCTAGGAGGAGCGCGATCTCTAGGGCAGTACGGAGTGAAGGCAGTAGCACGAGTAGCAGGAGCAGCAGTAAGAGCAGCAGGGCGGCGCGCGGCCAGAGCAGGGCGGCGCGCGGCCACAACAGGGCAGTAGCAGGTAATAGCTCCTAGGGCAGAAGCACCTAGGGCCTTTTTTTTATATAATTAGTTTTATTTTATTTAGGGTTTAGCAGGGCGCTGGCGCATGGCAGGGCGCCAGCGCGCGCAGGGCAGGGCGCTGGCGGGGGCGCTGGCGCGGGCTGCAGCAGTGCGTGACGCGAGGGGCAGCAGAGCGCGACGCAATGGGCTGCTGCAGAGCGCTACTCATGGGCTGCTTTAGGGCGCGACGCGCGGGCTGGAGTAGAGCGCGACGCGCGGGGCAGCAGCGTGCGACGCGCAGGCTGCCGTAGGGCGCAACGCGCAGGGCCGCAGCACGGGCGTAGGGCAGGGCGCAGGCGCAGGGCAAGGCGCTGGCGCAGGTCAGGGCGCTAGCGCAGGGCAGGGCGCTGGCGCTGGGCACGGCGCCGGCGCAGGGCTGGGCGCTGGCGCATGGTAGTGGGGTAACGCGGTAGCCGCAGTCGGAAGCTAAGTATGGTGGGCCCGAAAAAAAAACGGTCCTACGGACCTACTGCTCTGAAACCATGTCAAGTTAGCAAGCAGGAATGGTTGCATTGAATGAAATGTGGGTACAAGTACTAACCCTAACTTCGGGTTGTACCCCATATGGGCTACCCCACTATAGCCTACACAGAACTAACATATATATAGTTTGACACCCCCCCCCCCCCCCCCCCTCTCAAAAATCGCATCAGGGTGGTACCCAACATTACTCGTCATCAGGGCGAGTACACCAAGTCGGTCTGAAATATCAGTGTTACACAAAAATGCACTTTTTATTGTAAGGGCGCCCTAAAATACAACTCTGTAAAATAAGGGTGAACACACCTAAACCCACCCTTGTAAGAGCCATAAGGGTGATTTACCCTGATATCAAGAGGCCTGCTACTCAGAGTTTAGCCTTGCAAAGATCCTAAGGGCTTTTCTCAGCCCAACACATGCAAGAGTGCCTCAAACCCAATTTTGAGCCCTGGCGCTGCCTGTCTGAGTACGGTACTTCGCACATTGCATCACCTCCCTCCCCATAAACAATAACAGAACATCCTATCCAAAGCACATGCTTTTCCAGATCCAAACTTCCAGCACGCGGCACCAATTTTACCACCTATGCACCCTACGCTTCATCACTACTTTAGTATCCCCCCAGCCTCCGTCATCATAGTCACTGCCCATCTCATCATCATCACCATAACTATCATCTTCCCCCCACCCCCATGCCTCTCCGCCCCACTCTTCCCATTCCTCCTCCATATCGCCTTCCTCCTCCCAATCTTCCTCTTCAGAATCCCCTCCGTCCCCCTCCTCTCCCTCCTCCTCCTCTCCCTCCCCCTCCTCTTGTTCCCCCTCCTCTCCCTCCCCCTCTCGCTTCCCCTCCTCTCCCTCCCCCTCCTCTCCCTCCCCCTCCTCTTGCTTCCCCTCCTCTCGCTCCCCCTCCTATCCCTCCCCATCCTCTCCCTCCCCCTCCTCTCGCTTCCCCTCCTCTCCCTCCCCCTCCTTTCGCTTCCCCTCCTCTCCCTCCCCCTCTTCTCCCTCCCCCTCTTCTCCCTCCCCCCTCTCTCTCCTCACAGGTACCCTTCTCGTGGCTGGCTGTGGCAACAAAGGGCATTCACAGATGCTGCACTCACGCAACGTCGGCTTTCTATGGAGAGACGGCGGCAGTCGGGCCAGATTCTTGCACGCGCGCACCTCCAGCTCCGCAAGCTTAGGCAGCCGAGTGATGGAATTTGGCAAGCTCTGCAACCGCGTCAGTCCCACGATCTGCAACTTCTCGAGGGAAGAAAGCTTGCAGATGTCAGCTGGAATGACTGAGATTCCAACCTTAACAAGAGAGCAGGACTGCAGGTTGGATAGATTCACAAATGACTCTGGAAGCTGCGTCAGCTTGAAGCAGTCGCTAATCTCTAGCGTCTCGAGCATCTTCAGCTGCCCGATAGACTTGGGCAGCTGCTGCATTGCATTGAGTTGAACCAGCTGCAAGACAAGGAGCCCTGCGAGCCCACCAAGGGCCTCGGGCAGTGTTTTCAAACATCTGATCGAGCCAACTTTGAGCCTTTGCAGCTGCGAGAGTTGAGAGATGGAGTCAGGAAGAGTGCCTAGCTCATTCATCTTTGAGACCTTCAGCTGCGTCAAAGCAGACAGACGACCAAGGGATGGACCAAAGGTCTCAACACCGAGCTCCTTCATCTTGAGGCTCTCAAGGGAAGGAAGCAATGCGCGGCTGCCGCTCGTGCTGCCAGTGGTGATCATAAAGCCTCTGGCAGTACGTATGTACACCTCCTCATCCCCTAGAACCGCCCTTAGCGCACCGCACGCCCGCACTTTCAGCGATCGAAGACAGGGCAGCTCAAGAAGCGACGAAGGGAGAAACATCAGAGCGCCCATTCCAAAGATCCTGACCTCCTCGAGCGCCTTCAGCCGTCCGATTTCCTCTGGCAAGACCGTTACATTAGGGCAATTGCCGACTTCCAGGCAGGTGAGGGAATCAACGTCTGAGAAGGAAGCCGGAAGGGCAGACAGGCGTGGCAGGGAGTCGAGCGACAGCTCCTTGAGGCTATTCGAGCACCCAAATCCATCTAGCAGCGCTCCTTTAAAGTGCTTCGCGTTTTGAATCGTGAGCGTTTCGAGAGACGTGAGCTCGGAGAAGGATGGAGGAAGGCCGGTGAGTGCCGTGCAGTCCATTAGATGAGTGCAAGGAGCGCATGCCCTTTCCCATGTCGACTGGCAGCCCCGTGAGGAGCGGGCAAGAGTAAACATCCAGGTCTTCGAGAGAAAACAGCTGGGATAGGGAGTCCGGGAGCTGCTTCAGCTGCTTACAGTCCGAAAATCTTAGCTCCCGGAGAGCTGTCAACTGTCCGAATGTTTCAGGCACCTGTGTGAGCTTTTGAAGGCCTCTCAGGGAAAGTTTCTCCAAAGAAACCAGCTGCCCGAACTCCTGGGGCAGAATTGTCAGACGCCAAAAGTTATTAAGAGAAAGCTCTTGAAGAGTGGTTATCAAGGCAATGGAATTGGGTAAGGCTGTGAGGCTCATCATGTCCAGCACGAGTGACCGAAGCACTGACAACTGCCCGAAATCTTCGGGCAGCGTTGAAAGTTGTCCAATCTCAAGGTTGAGTTCAGTGAGCGCAGGCAGGAGGGGAAGAGACAGGGGCAGAGACGTGATATCACTGCAGCGCTGGATGGTTAGAGTCTTGAGTCGCTGCAAATGCTCCCCATCCGCAACCAAGTCGCGCATCCCCGTCACTTCAACCAAGACGAGGGTTTCGAGTGCCCCCAGTTGGACCGAAATCGACCTGCGGCCATAGAAGAATCTTCCAATTTCGAATCTCCAGGACGGCGAGAGAAGAAATCTTGGTGAAACAGGCCGGCAGCTGCAACGTCAAGCAGTGACTCAATGAAAAACGGTTTAGAGCGGTAAGCTGCCCGAAAGATTCCGGAAGTGACGCCAAGCGGCTCTGGTGGAGCTCCAGCGACGTTAGAGAAACCAGATTGCCGAAATCTGGAGGCAAAGTCTCAAGATTGCAGGTGTTGAGCACAAGGGTTCCGAGAGACTGCAATGAGGTCAGTGTGTCGGGAAGACGCGTGACGCTTGCTACGAGGCGCAGGCACTTGAGCAGTGTGAATCGGTCGATCGACGAGGGAATGGCAGCATCCGGTGAGCAATGAACATCAAGATCTTCCAGCCGCGTACACCCTTCAAATAGCACAGCGAGGCTCTTCTTTGTTACGTCCCCGCGACCGGAACTATGTGACATCGTTTCGACACGAAGCTCGGTCAAATGATGACACGTGCTAGCAAGGTGAGAGAATAAAAAATTAGAGGTGGAGGTGAGGCTCTTATAGTACAGGAATAGCTTTCTGAGGTTTGGGAACGAGGACGAAGTTGGAGGAATTGACCCAAATCCATACGGAGAAACATGGGCAAGTATGTGATAATTAGAACGAGAATGATTGAACTATGAAACAGTTGGGTACAAGTACTAACCCTAATTGGGTTGTAACCCTTATGGGCTACCCCACTACGGCCTACACAGATGTATAAGCTATAATGTTCTGACACACCCCCATAGGCAAAGTGGGGGAGAACAAGTGGTCACAAGACCAGTCAAGCGAAGCAAAGCAAGCTCAGGGTGGATCACAAAGTCACCACACAGTTCGAGCACAAGAGCAAGGCCACAAGGCCAGTTCACATGCAAGATCATATATATATTAAGGTAAAGAAGCAAGTGCAGGTATAGAAAGAGTAGAGTACAAACAAGATCAAGAAGTGAGCAAGTGAGGCCAGGTAGGCACAAGACCTAGCAAAGTACAGAAGCGCTGATGATCACAAGGCGGAAGGGCCTTGGTGAAGATATCAGCAGTGTTGGCCTCAGAGGCCACGTAGGTGAGGTGGAGCTGACCACGCTGCTGCAGCTCACGAGCCAGGAAGTAGCGAAGAGCAATGTGCTTCGTTCTGTGCTCAAGTCTGTGCTCCCGACACAAGGCCAGCATGGCCTTGTTGTCTACGTACAGAACTAGAGGAGAACGAGGCGGCTCTCCTAGGTCAGTCAGCAGGTAGGTGAGCCAGCGTAGCTCCTGTGCAGCCATGGCCCCTGCGTAGATCTCAGCCTCACAGCTGGAGCTGAGAACAGAGGACAAGCGGGTAGACCGCCACGAAACAGAGCCGGAGCCAAGGCTGAAGGTGTAACCCTGTGACGACCGCTGCAGAGCCTGGTCCTCAGCCCAAGAAGCGTCAGCGTGACCTGTGAGGACCACTCGACATCGCCCTCCAAGCACTAGCCCCATGCCCGACGTACTGCATACGTAGCGCAACACCCTCTTCGCTGCAGCCATGTGCTCTGGTCGGTGTCTCCCAGAAGCAACATAGCGTGCCAAGATGCTAAGAGGGTATGCAAGGTCAGGTCGTGTGCAGGTCATCAGACACATGAGGCAGCCAACAAGCTCTGGGTACGGGCCACTCGGCTCTACGGACTCATCCAAAGGCAGAGCTGAGAGCGAGTGGCGAGTAGACAGAGGAGTGGCCTGAGGCGAGGAGTACGTGAAGCCGAAGCGCTGAAGGACCTGCTGCACCATGTGTGACTGAGTCAGGGTAATGGTGCACTCTGCTCTGTCCCGGGTGATCTGCAAGCCAAGGTAGCTGCGCAGTTCACCCAGGTCTGTGCACGTGTGTCTCTTCTGCAGCTCGGACTTCACGTGGGCGAGTCCAGCAGTGTCAGCAGTGGCAAAGACCAAGTCGTCGACGTACACGAGGATGTAGAACGGCGGCAAAGAGGTGTCGGTGCGCAGAAACAGCGACGGGTCGGCTGTAGAAGGAGCAAACCCAAGAGCCGCAAGTGTAGTCCTCAGTGTGTCGTGCCACACACGGGGTGCCTGGCGGAGACCGTAGACTGGCCGCCGGAGGCTCCACAGGGTACCAGGGGGAAACAACCCAGTGAAGCAAGGTGGGCGGCGCAGCCAGATCTCCTCGTGTAGGCTGCCCTGCAGGAAAGCTGTGCTAAAGTCAAGAGAGTGAAGCTCGTAGTCGCGCTGAGCGGCTATGTGCAGCAGCACCCAAAGAGTGGTCATCTTCGGGGTGGGAGAGAAGGTCTGAAAGTAGTCAACTCCGTGCCGCTGACTGAAGCCTCGAGCCACGTAACGCGCCTTGAAGACAGGCGGAGAACCCGGCGGCCGCTTCACCCTGAAAATCCACATGCCACTGACGATGTTCACCCCAGGTGGGGGAACCTCGTCGACGTAGGTGCCTGTGGACTTCTAGGAAGCCATCTCTACGTCCATGGCTGACTGCCACTGAGAGGAGTAGGGACCCTCGATCGCCTCAGCGTACGATCGAGGAGTCGGGATGTCTGGTGCATCCGGGTCTCCCTCAGGGGCAATCAGCGTGGACACGAGATGAGGCAAAGCAGCAGCAAAACACTGGAACTCCTCCTGCCTGTCCTCAACCACGTCCGTGCTAAGAGCACACTCACCCCCGACGGACGGAGGACAGACAGACGCAGACTCAGCAACAAGACTAGCGGCGTAGTCTAGACGACAGCGAGCAGCAAAGTCGACAAGCTCAGCAACCAAGGCAGACGTAGTAGCGGAGTCAAAGGAAGGGTTAGTGACAATAGTAGCCAGGAGACGCGTGATAGTAGGACTGGCAGCACGAAGAGAGTCAGACTCCGGGTCAGCAAGAACAGGAAGAGAGGACTCTGGAGGAGACGGCAACGGGACACGCAGAGGAGCAGTGGAAGGACACAGCGCCATCTGGTGTGTGCCGGGGACCGCAGGAGGACGCGGAAGCGCAATACGACCACCAGTGCGAGCAGCACGAACAGGCGACGCAGGACGAGACGCAGGACGAGACGCAGGCGCATGACGCTCAGCAAGACTTCCAGTAGGACCAGTGTAGGGAGAAGGAGCAGGTAGAGGGGAGGCGGGCTGTAACTGTTATTGCGACTGGATAGGCCGTGGACACTCTAAGGAAGGAGCAGGACCAGGAGAGGGCGGGAGACCAAGAACCTGCTCCAGGAGCGGAACGAAGTACGGCCTCGGCCGCTCAGCGCCTCCAGAACCAGCAGGGACGGCACCAGTACCCCAAGCGGCAGCACCAGCGCTAGCAGCACCTCCACCTCCAACTGCGCCAACTCCAGCACCCTCAGAAGCACCAGCGCCAGCAGCACCGCCAGCGCCAACACCCCCAGCAGCTCCAGCTCCAGCAGCACCAACTCCAGTAGGACCGTCAGCTCCAGCAGCCTCAGCAGCACCCCCAGACGCACCAGCGCCCGTAGAAACACCAGCGCCAACACCCCCAGCAGCTCCAACTCCAGCAGCACTAGTACCGCCAGCAACTCTAGCAGGACCAACTCCAATAGCCCCAGCAGCACCCCCAGTCTCAGCAGCACGTCTCTAGCGGCGGGCAAACCAATCGCGCAGCTTCTGTGGAGAGAGTGGCTCCCGCCTCGACGAAGCACCGCCGGCGGCCACACGAGCAGACCCAGCGCCCCCAGGTTCGGCACCCCCAGGCTCCTCACCCCCAGACCCAGCACCCCTAGGCTCAGCACCCCTAGACTCAGCACCCCCAGTCTCAGCACCCCAAGACTCCGCACCCCCAGGCTCAGCACCTCTAGCAGCACCAGAGTCAACAGCTACCTCGACAGGCTCGACTGCATCTTCCTGGGACACACCTGACGGGGCAGGACCCTGAGGGGGGAGGGGGTCTACCGGGGGAGAACCTGGTGCAAGGAAGAGCGGCGGCGGAGGGAGGGGCGCAGTGCGATAGGGGAAGAGATGGTAGTAAGGCACCGACCCGTCAAAGGTGACGTCCTGGGAGGACAAAACCCGGCGCGAGGTGGGGTGGTAAAACTGCCACCCAGGCGCGTCAGGGGGGAAGCCAAGGAAGACGCAGGGAACAGCACGGGGGGACAGCTTGTCCGCACACAAGTCGCGGACAAACGCCCGAGATCCCAAGTCCCGAAATGCAGACGCATCGCCAACCTTCCCGGTCCACCGCAAGGTGGGGGAGGTCTCTGGCAAGGAGACCCGGGGCTGAAGGTTCAGCTGATGCGCGGCGTAATAAACCGCAAACGGCCACAGAAAATGGGGGGCAGCCGCATGCATCATGGACGTACGAGCGACGTCCATGACCATGCCAATCCGGCGCTCAGCAATCCCATTTTGCTGTGGAGAGGCCGGAAGCGTGA